TCGGGCTTAGGATCAGCACATGTGTGTCTGTCTGTGACTGCTTTACATGTGGGTATGTCCGTGACTGTGTCACGTATTGGTGTGTCTGTGACTGCTTTACATGTGGGTATGTCTGTGATGTCGGGCTTAGGATCCTCACATGTGGGTGTGTCTGTGACTGCTTTACATGTGGGTATGTCTGTGATTTCGGGCTTAGGATCATGGCAGCTGGGTAGGTGCGTGACTGTGTCACGTGTGGGTATGTCCGTGACTGTGTCACGCGTGTGTGTGTGTGGTGTGATTGCGGGCTTAGGATCAGCACATGTGTGTGTGTCTGTGCCTGTGGCGCCTGTGCGTGGTGGTGGTGTGATGTCGGGCGTAGGATCAGCACAGGTGGGTGTGTGTGTGGCTGGAACGGTGGCGTCGCAGGTGGGATGACGGGCGTGGTAATGACGCGGTCGGTCTGCGTTGGCTGAAGCATTGGTCCCTGATAAACCCGGGTTTGTGATAGGAGCATCCAAGGAACTACTATACCCCTTTGCGTCCCGCATCAAATCACGCGCAAACTCCTGCGCACACTCCTGTGCAAACTCCTCCACGACAATCTGCAAATAGTCCTCTTTGACGCTTTCCCATTCGGTCGCTTCACATTCGTTGAGCACTTCTAGATGTAGCTCGATGATGGTGCGCGTATGCACGCGTGGTGGGCGTTGTCCGCGTCGTTCGGCAGCAGATGCAGGTTGCGTATCCCTAACCATCGTGTACCCGTAATCGGGTGGCGGCAGGTCTCCGCGTTGTAGATGCTGCAATATTTCTTCGTCGAGTGGCAGTGACGGAACGTCACGAACGGTTCGATATGTTCGTCGTCGTTTTTTTCCGAGGTACGCAAAGTACTAAGCAGAAAAAGGGGGGTAAAGAGGATGGTGGGGACGGTAGGATAAAAGGAATGAACAAGGGTGTAGGAGTATGTTGGTTAGAACGATCATATATTGGTGCCCGTAGGGAGTTTCTGCGGTATAAACATCCGGCACATGCGGCATGCCCTGATTGCCGTAATAACTTACCTTCCATAGGAAGAACGCAAGGACCCCAATACCAACCACCGCGGGAATGAGAGCGGGGGTGTACGGGATAAGGTCATGCCAGGTTAGTCCGCCACCAAGTACGATCTCTTCGGGTGTGTTCTGTGCAGGTTGATCATTCTGGGCAGTGGAAGGAATCTGAGGAGTGTGCGGGGTAGATGGAGATGCGGGTCCTGAGGAACCAGGGTGTTGGTGACCAGTAGAACCGGGTCCTGAGGATGAGGAACGTCCACGTCCTCCCGCACCTGGGCCACTTGGACCTGCCGCCTCAGAAACACCACCTCCAGTACCTCCTGTGGACGGTGCGCCGCTGGTTGGGCCGCCTTCGGAACCCGATTGATTTGGGTTCGGGTTGGGTTTGGGTTTGGGCGGATTGAGAGGAGGCGGGTCATCGTTGCCGCCATCGACGGGGGCATCGCCTGAACATGTGGTGAATGGGGAGACAGGGAAAGGGAAGGAAGAAGGATGTGATGAAACTGAACTTTTGCAGCGGTGGTGGCACATGGTTGGTTGTCCACATGATCCGTCGCTGGTTGCTCGGCAACACGGTCGGCACCATTGGTGCCACGGGGGTAGGAAACGGACGGGTGAACGGCTACACGGTTCGTTGCCGTCGTGTCACGGTTGACCTCCGTGGATGGGGACGGACGGGGGCAGGGTGGCACCCCGGGAAAAGACTCTCTCTCGGTCCCACCCACAACACACACACAGACAGTGTGTCTGTCTGTCTGTCGATGTCTCTACGTCGCTCTCTACGGGCCGCGGGTCTGCCGTTTGCATTCTCATTCGACGTTTGGTTTCTCTCGCTCCGTGTTGTCTCTCCCTCTCTGTCTCCGGAAAAGTTGTTTCTTTTTTTTTTGTGTCCTCTTGTATGTGTATTGAACGGTTCTTTTGTATGTGTGCTCTCGAAATGCGTTACCGTGGGCAATAGCAGCGTTGACTTTTTTTCCTCCTCCTAAATCTGCATCGGATGTACATGCGGTACTTATAACAATACCACCGGAACTGGCTGCAGCCGGCCGAAGACTCGCCTGGCACTGTGCCTCACCTGATTGTTCGTGTGGTCCCTTGGGTCTTGCAGCACCAGTAACAGGTTGGGTTCCTTCTTCCCCTGGCGCGGGTGGGGATGCCGGTGCTTGTGGTTGCCCTGCTTTTGAGTCCTCTGATCGTCCCTTTGGTCCGGGCGGCACGGATGGTGCCGATGGAGTGTTTGCCGTGTTGTCCGTGCTTGTCTTCTCCGTCTCTGCAAATAAAGCAAGGAAGATACACGACAAAATGATACAAAAAAGGACACAAGTGGTACAGAAAGAAGGGGCCGGGACGGTTCGGTCAGGCAGCGGCAGCGCACGGTCCGGCTCGACGACGGGGCGCGACGATGGGGTCAGGTAGCGGCCGCGTATGATCCGCCGCGATGCAGTGGGTCGATGCATTGGGCCGGCTGCATGGGTCGGTGCAGTGGGTCGAGGTAGGACGCAGTTTACTCGGTGAACTTGGGCTAGATGGTAGCAGTACAACTTTTATTTGTTGTTGCCGTCATGTCGTCCGCCGTCCCGCTGCCCTGGCCACTCATATGCGTCCGCTCCTCAACCGCTACCGCTACCGTCGTGGTCTCTACATATTCGTGGCCGCCGCTGTGCTCAGCTCAACGAAGGGACCGTGCTTTTCCGCCGCGGGCGCGTGGTTTTGTTGTGGCGGCATCCATATGGGCCATACGGGTCGTATTCGTAATATTCGTGTGCAGCCGTATTGGTGCTTTCTCCCATCGGTCCTTACCTGGCGTTTGCTGGGTTGTTCCGGTGGCGCGTGCGCCGGAGGCGGGAATAACGATTACTTTCTGTAATGCGTCTCCCGCGTGCTCTACTGCGTGTTTTATGTGTTCCTCTATCTCGGCATCCTTTTTTTCGTCTTCTTCGCCCACAGAAGGGTACTTGGGTGCTTTCGCAGTTGACCCCCTCAATTGTTTCTCCTCGTTCTTCATCTCTTCCTCCACTTCTTGCAAAATTTTTGTGACCTGCTGCTTTACTTCATCTTTCGTTTGTTTGTCCTTGTTCTTGTCTTTTTCCTCCTGTGTCTTCCCGACCTCTAGCTTTACCTGTGCTCCCTTACAGTCATCGCCTATTTGTTCCTGCGCAAGTTTCTCCTGCATCTGTGCATTCTGCTTTAGCCATTTCTTCATCTGATTCCTCATGGGCCAGTGCCCTAATTCGATTTCCTTATACATACCGCGCTTACAATGGTTTTCCCCCAATGTGTCCTTTAACGCGCCCGATATTTGGTCCACCACCCACCATGCGTAATATGTGCCCCACCAACCCTCGCATGCATATGTCCTGAGTATATCTTGGTATATATGCGCTATGGTGCATCTCATTAACCCCTTAATTTCCTTATCGTTCTCGGAGTTGTCCTCTATGTTGGTCTTTACTTCCTGAGTCCATGCGTTCGCAAAATATATCCCTTGCTTCATGAGTCTGCATATAACTCTTTCTGTTCGCCGATCCATCTTCCTTTGTGGTTGGTGTGTCTTGCCATGTTCTGTTGGATGCTCCCAGTATGCATTCTCACAGTTCTTAGCATTGTGGTACTCACTATCTCCGTCCATATGCTTAATAAAAAGCCGCATTTGGTATTGCATATCCTTCCATAAATGTCCCTGTGGTTAACACAATGCACATATATATGTGGTCGCACAGTATTATTCACGAACCGTTGCAATCATCTAAATATATCTGTCCCTTCCTGCCTGTTACATGTAAATGTGCCGTATGCGGTACATATGAAGCACGCACATGTCCGACATGCTGCTACGCTTTAGTATGCTGCTCTTATAAACACATATGTGCTGGCTTGTGCACAGCGCCACACTCGGCGTGTATGTATAGGAAATTACCTGATAAATCGCAGTATCCGTCGTCAGGTGCCTAAGCGTCGCATACGCTCTCAATATGTTCGCTAACTCTGTCGCCATTTTTGTCGCATCATAACAACATAGAAAAGATCAGTGCTGGCAGAATGCGTATAGCGTTCTGCATATCTTGCGCTACTGCATTACTCACAAGGTCTACGTATCCAATAGAATCCTCTATATGCAGTACTCATTAACGTGGTTGCAACCTCAACAATATTCTACACTTGAACAGGGGGTATATATGCATCAATTCATATAACCTATCTAAACATATACACATATATACTCCGTATCCTTACATACATAACGCGGAGTTGCACAACGAAAAATAATAAATACGAGTAAAAAGAAGAACAAAAATAAGTTAGAAATAAATTACCTAAAAAAAAAAAAAAAAAACAATTGCACGACACACATCATACCTGTACAAATGCATAACAACATCTTCTACACAATCTCGAGAAGACTCTGGCTCTTCCACACATGAACAATGTCGCCCGCGTAAATAATAAT